GGGTTTAGGGTTTATGGAATTTATTTTCTTGTGCTCTGATGCTTGCTTTGATGTTTTTAAAGTTGCGCTGTTAGGGTTTAAGCTGGGGGTGGGGGGTAGCCTCGGCCCTTTTCGGGCTTTCGGCGTGTCAGGGCCCGTAGAGGCCCTTATTTATTTGAAGGTCAGGGAAACCCTTTGTGCCTGCTCCTGGATTCCCCTTCTTTAAGGGCTCTTGAGGCCTTTTGGGGGCTTCCTGGGGGCTTTCCTGGCCCTTCCGGGGTAAAATGAAGGAAAAAACCATCGATTTCAGTACCAAAAAATCGCATTTTTCATTGCGGGTACGGGCATCCTGGGGTCCCCCTTCTTTTAGGGGGCCTTTTGAAGCCTTTTGCTGGCTCTTGGGGTCTCTCGGGGCCTTGTTCGGACATTCGGCGTGTCAGGGGCAGGGGCCGTAGAGGCTTTATTCATTTGAAGGTCAGGGAACCTATTAGTTTTTTTCGCCAATGAGTATTTCAATCGCTAGGGTTTAAGCTGGGGTTCGGGGTAGCCTCGGCCCTTTTCGGCCCCTCGGCACGTTAGGGCCCGTAGAGGCCCTTGTTTGCTTGAAGGCCTTCGCAGGGTTTTGCGGTAGAGGCCCTCATTTGCTTGAAGGCCTTCGCAGGGTTTTGCGGTGTTAGGGTTTAAGCTGGGGTTCGGGGTAGCCTCGGCCTTTTTTCGGGCCTTCGGCACGTCAGCGCCCGTAGAGGCCCTTGCTGATTTGGGGGCTTCAGGGGCTTTCCTGGTCTTTTGGGGTGAAATGGAGGGGTGCCCAAAACCATCGATGTCAGTACAAAAAATACATTTTTCATTGCGGGCAGGGGTGCCAAAAACTATCGTTTTCAATATTCAAAAATCGCATTTTTCATTGTGGCCGGAGATGTGTTTTGACCCACACGAAATTGAGCAACCAGCCTGCTTGGACACCTCGCCAGCCTCCTGGTCCAGGAATCCAGCTACCAGGGGCCAGGGGGGGTGGGGGGGCCGGCAAACCCTGAACCCAAAATCCTGGCAATTGCAGAGGGTTACGATTGGGTTATACTTTAGCTACGCTAAAGGTGGTCTGGGTGCGGGCCATCCCTTAGCCGAGTACTGACGTTGTCGTAAAAATGGCCGATGTCCGTTGGCCTTCCAGGACAGACGGTGAGGCTTAACCCTCACCTTTCCGTTTCTCTTTCGCTTGGGCGCTAGGGCTGTAAGGCCCTCGGCCGAGCGTTCGGGGTCTGTCGCTCGACCTCACTTAGTTTAGGGTTTGGGGTTTAGGGTTTGGGGTTTAGGGTTTAGGGTTTGGGGTTTAGGGTTTAAGGTTTCAGGGCTTGGGATGATGGTTTAAATTTTGACCATCCAGTTTGCCAGGAGTCTGTTTCGCAAGCTGGCTAGGGCTCGGTTTGGGCTTTCGGGCTTGGGAGGGTTGGGCTGATTTGGCATCTAGGATTTAGGATCTGCCAAGGGTGGTGCGGATGGCTTTGCCTTGAAACCCTCGTGTTCTTGAAACCCTTGTGTTTATATCGGCTTTTCGGAGCTCCGGGACGGCCCCTCGGCAACGGCCGCTGTAGCCTTCCGGGCGTTCCGGCCTCAGGATCGGGTTCAGGGGCTTTAAACCCCCAAACCCCAACCCTAAAAAGCTATTCACTAGACCCCAAATCCGCAAGCCGTATCCCCCAAACTTAAACCCCCAAGCCCCTAAACCCACACCGCAAATACCCCAATCCCCTAAACCCGAAAGACTCAACCCCTGTCCCCCAAACCCTCAACCCGGAAGCCCCCAAACCCCAACCTCTAAACCCCCATCCCCTAAACCCCAATCGCCAAACCCCCAAACTCCCAAACCCCCAATCCCCCAAACCCCCAAACCCCTGAACCCTAAACCCTGAACCCTAAGCCCTAAACCCCTAAGCACTACAGACTTCAGCCACCGGGGCCTGTCCCGGGAATTGTCCCTTGCTGAAGCCTTTGACCAATACCTTTGCCTTGAAAGCGCGGAGATGCAAGAGGTAGGATTTCGGGTTTCGGGTTTAGGTTTAGGGTTTAGGGTTTAAAGCCCACTGAAAGGCTGTCTACGAGTCTTGGGTTTGGGATTCAGGAAAGTTGTGCTGAGGGGTTAGGATTTTGGGGGTTGAGGTTTGTAGGGTTTAGGGATCTCGGGTGGAAGGTCGGGTCCCTACACCTCCCAGCCCTGAGCCCTGACACCTCAGCTTTGGTTTCCGATGCGCTGGACCCCAATCCCCCAGCACCCTGGATATAGCCCCGTGCATAGCCACCCTCAACCCTGAACCCTAAACCCCAAACCCAAACCCGTATTGAACGGTTCTTCCCTCAGTCCCTTATTGAAAGCTCTTGGCCACAACGCTTGAAGTGGTCGGCGATGGTAGGGGTAGTTGTCGTGGTCGTGGTCGTGGTCGTGGTCGTGGTGGTGGTGGTGGTGGTGGTGGTGGTGGTAGTAGTAGTAGTAGTAGTAGTAGTAGTAGTAGTAGTAGTAGTAGTAGTAGTAGTAGTAGTAGTAGTAGTAGTAGTAGTAGTAGTAGTAGTAGTAGTAGTAGTAGTAGTAGTAGTAGTAGTAGTAGTAGTAGTAGTAGTAGTAGTAGTAGTAGTAGTAGTAGTAGTAGTA